TTCTTTTTCACAAGTATCAAAAATATATTTCCAAAGCGCTACATCCGCAGCAGAACAGCATTAATAGAGCTGCACAGCCGCTCAAATAATGTTTCGCAATGAAATAGCATTTTTAGCTCCAAGATAATTTGTTATTACTTTTGCTGACAATAAACATACAAAGAAAATCAATCAACACTCTTTCTCTTGTTGGACGGAGCGGGGGTCTCTGGGGTGCTTAGGGCCTTGCGAGTATTGCGAGTCCGGCGTACCTTGGCAACTGTGGCTGTCTCGGGAGTCTCAGGGGCATTATCAGTCTTGGGGATCTCAGGGAGGAGATTCAACTTAGCGCGCATCGCTGGAACATTATGCCATTCAGTAAAGGGAATGTACAGCTCAGGGTAGTCAGGATATCCGTACGCCAAAAGGTGAGAAGCTAGAGCGCTGTCAAAACTGGAGTTCAAAAACATCATGTCGTGGGCGTATGCGTCGTTGTAGATCTTGTCAAAGCTCAGAACCATCTTGTCACGAGCCTCTGAGGTTGCAGATGGCACCTTGGCGTACTTTAATCTCCTCAGCTTCGTCGTAATTGCAGGAAAGTCGGCGATGGGGATTGGAATAATAGGTAGCTCACCTCCATCAAACGCGCTCTGAAACACCTCCCGCTCAAGATCAGACTCCAGGAAATCCTCGCCGCTGTCATTGGCCCCTTGCTCGCCAAGTTTCTTTAAGCGCAGAACTATACTGTTACGAGCCTCAGTGGGTTTGGCATTCACTGGCTTGTACACGAAAGACCTCATAATCGCGATAAGCTGGGGCAACTCAGCTACTGTGAATGGTGTGTTAGGGCGCAACGTCATGGTTTTGAAAGCTGCTACAATCACGTTCCAGTCGATATTCGCTGGCGACCACAGGAAGGAGCCAAATAATGGCATATGCAAAGCCCGGGCATTGTCAGCTAGCCACACGATCCGTACTTCGTAGCCCTTATGCGCTAAATTGGAGAAAAGGGCTGCGAACCTTGTTGTCCACACACACGCCCAGGTACATATTGGTACGCGGCCATGTCGCCTAGGTGCAAACTGCAAAAGTGGGTCAAAGAAAAGCATGGCGAAATCAGCGGCATCCAAGTTCCTCAACATCTCTGGGTAGTTAGGATTCGGGGTGGCTTGGATATTTGTGCGCCAGCAGTGCAACATCAGCTTGGCCCAGGTTGGGACTGCCAGGACTGCTGGGCCATTGTGGCCAGGATATGCGAGGCGCTGGAAATATGTGGCGACAATATGAATCTGCTCTAGCTGGACCGCGTAGTATGTGCTATCGAAATCGACAAAGCCGTAGATACCTGTGCATGCTTCTAGTGCAACCTCGTCATCAGCAACTGGTAACTGGTAAGCGTAGCTACGAACTAGCTCCTTCAAACGCATGGTCATAGTCGGAGCTTTGGAAGGAGTAAATGGCATAAATGCAATTAAGTGCCGTAATCGTGGAGTGATCAAAGCATCAAGGGCTTTTATCCGAGAAGGGTGGTCAGAAATGTCTTTAGTGACATCATCGGCACTAGTCAACAGCTCGGTCAGCTCTGCGCTAATAATAGGGTCGTAGAGCATGCCGTTGCCCTTGCTCCCTCTGCCGCTCCCTCTGCTGCTCTTGCCCATGATGTTGCCAAAATAGGCGCCAAGATATTTAAACACCTCGCCATCAGCAAGTGCTTTGACAGGAAACTTGACACAGGGCACATAGGGTGCAGCACTAGGATCTTGACCAATGAAGAGGGCGTTTGTCTTGCATAGGTCAAAGCTAACACCCGTCGCAGTGCTAAACAAGTCCAAGGCTGCATGAATATCAGGTAGATAATCACTGCTCGATGTCGTAATAACCACGCTGTTCCCATGGGACAAATGAGACATTTTGCCAGTGGGCAACTTGACAAAGGCCTCTTTGGGTAAATGCTTGCACAGCGAGTGCCAAAGCAATTCCAAGACTATAACAAATAGAATCGACGCAAGACGGTCACCCTTGTAAACACAGTTCTGCTCGTCGTATGGCTCGGATGTAACATTGCTTGGCAAGAAACTGGTGGGCGCAAACCGAAAAAGGGCACCAATTGCAGCAATAAAATCTGGCGGTAGACCAAAGGTGTGTAAAACCCGCAAGACAAGCGTAAACGAAAAGCGGCAATCAACCTGGGCCTCATCGAGAAACAGAAACAATGCCGTTCCTCCTGCTTCTACCAAATGGTGCTGTGCCATCAACAACATGTTGATTGTGTCACCAACACAGCGACCTGGGAGCACTGCCGACTGCTCTGGAGATATGGACCGAGAAAGGGCATGGCTCAGCCGCATCGCCAAAACGTCAGCGATAATGCGATACTCGATGTTGTGCTGTGCAATTCGCCTACTACTGACCAGGATCCCATTGATACAGTCTGCGATTATGTGGCTAGCGACAAACTCCTTGGAGACAAGATCGGGGTGCTCCAGCACATAATTGGCCAGCTTGCACAAAACAGTACACGCAGTCTTGCTAAGCTTGAACAGCTCCAATGACACGCCATTAGGACCAGGACTTGTATGGTGGATAATACGATGGCACGCAGCATGAATTTCGTCCAGCGTGATGGGCTCAGTGGTTTGCTCCACCATGTTAGAAGTGGGCAACTGGCCAGACGATCCGAGATGTTCGAGGTGCAGTGCCAACAGCTTGTCTATCGCAGCTACATTGGGCTCAAGGGGTGTGCCCAAGTCAGAGTCAGGCAAATCAGTGATAACTGGTCCGGAGTCGCTGTCACAGTGTGGGCTGGCATGCCTGAAGTACTTGGCCTGGATCCCTCGGAATTCGGCTGTCAGTTCATTATACACCTCGAATGGTAATGGCTGCGGCTCAGGTAGCTCATCATACTCCTCCAGCTCGAGAATCTTGGCCAACAAGCAAGCCGTGTTGATATCATCAGTAGCTGCTACTTCATCCACAGTGCTAAAGGCAAAGCAGGCACCAGAGCAGATCTGCTTGGAAATAGGCAGGGTCTTGACAGGGGATGCTCTCCTCAAATCCAGGCCAGCTTGATCCAGGATGGTCAGACAGACCTCATCGTGGTCGTACAATGAGTTGGCTGGGGTTTTCCGCCTATGCGAGTATATGATATGCTCCGTCATCTTGGCCATCTCCCCAGGGATGAGGAATAAGTCGATGCGCGATATGTAGCCATGGGAAATGGCCTGATCAACCAGCATACTACTGGAACCATTCACACTGACTGGGTGGTCCATAGTCTCGACATTCTTGGCTACTTTGGAGTTTCTTGCTAGCTCGATCGAAAACGTAAGGTGCGAGTTGGCTTTGATATCCGTGTGTTTGGTATTAGCAGCAACATCGACAAGACCAAGACCCAAGCACAAGTGCAAAACACAGGTACGACTCCTCTGTGTCTCGGTGTCCTTAGCGCGGTCACAAATCCGTGGAGCAATGTTAAAATCCCCGCCAACAACGATAATCCAGCCATGACGCTTGTAGCACGAAAGCAGTGAATGGAGCACCTCAAAAAAGTCCAGTCTCTCCTGTGAATCAGTCGGCGGCCCATGTATATTAACCAGGAGGAGCCCAAGCTGTGGGAAGGCCACCAACGTCTGGCAACTCGAACTGGTTGCCTCCACCAACCATGCATCCTCAAGTCGCTTCTCCCCATGGCTGTAGACCAAGATGGCAGTGTCATACTCTGCCATTGGAGAGGTGACATTGGGCTATTGAGTAACAAAAGAGATATTGACACATTTTAGAATTTATATATAATTGACATTGACATTTAATACAAAGCCTGCAATATGCAATACAAACTTACCTTGTTCAGGGCACCAATACCACCAACAAATGCCTTGCATCCATCTAAGCCATTCTCCAACAACTTCTTTGGGTCAGTGCTGCCCTTAAGCTCCTGAACAAAGACGAAATGGGGCACTGGGTCAAGCTCACCAATGTGCCTCTTCAAGCTAGGCAGTTTAAGCGCCTTACAGTTGCTAGCCTGCCCCAGACCACGCAAGTTCTGGCTCATAAAAGTCAGGGAGGGGAGTGGGTGACCATCAGGCTCAGCGTGGGGGACCTCGTTGGCAAGGATTGGCTGCATCCCAAGAACGTAAGAGCCAGGTGGGGGCTTGTAAACAAAAACCGACATAATAAAAAGAGATGGGCGTAACAAGTTCTCGCCCTTGGTGTTTGTCAAAATTAAAAAAGCAGGCTCTGGGGTAGAGTGGCACAAAGCAAGTAAAATTCAAGTTTTTAAAGTAAAAAAGATGAGAGTAGAAAAGGAAGCAATAGCTATTGACTCTCTGTCACATATGAGCGCTAACGGATTAGGGTGTCATAGGTGATTGTTTCAGCCTTCAACCATAGTTTCAGTTTTCTAGTATTTATATGTTCACCCGTCCGGCACTAGGCTGGGAATCGGGGAAGTTTCTTCTCTGGTGTTTAAGAATTTATTGACTAAAATTCTCCGCTTTACATTGAGGGCCACTCAAGGGAGTAAAAGAAACACAAATAGGTGCATTTTTCTGGCGCAGCCTTTAAGCACTAAGTTTATGTAGAATATCACTAAAGAAAGCAAAATAAACTATCCTAATCCGAATAAAGTCAGTTTCCTCTCAGTGTATCCCGCGAGCTTGGAAATAAGACATTAGAAGTAGGAGGTGTCTGAACGTTAGAGGTGTTGGCACCCTGGGAGGGTTGAGAATGGTTGATTGTATAGTCGGTATGGCTGTCCTGTGCATTGGTGAGGTTTAAAAAGATAACTTCCCGCTGAGGACGTTTTTACCCGGGTCGAAGTGATACCACTGGTTAGACACCAGTAACCAGCAAGTGTAGAAGGAATGGATGGTCTTGGTTTGCGTAAAAGCGTAAGTAAAGTAAAATAAAATAAAAATAAAAAAAGGTGCCTGTCCACCATTGTATATAAAGTAAGGTAATTGTTTATATATGCACCAAATACATTTATACCATAAAAAAGTCTTTGAGTTAGCTCGAAAAGAGGTCAGATGGCCGAGTGGTCTTAAGGCGCTGGTTTTAGGCACCAGTCTCTTCGGAGGCGTGGGTTCAAATCCCACTCTGATCAAATGTGTTTTTTTGTTTTTGCTTATCATTTCTTTTCGTATTGACAGGCGAGACACTTGCGATAGGCTATAGTGGCAGTTATATTGTTTGCGCCTTATGCCTCAGTATATTATTTTGCTTCGTTTTGTCTTTTTCGACCAAACGAGGAGCAGCTCACTGAGAAACACTTCTATCTTTTTAATGTTGCTCTGCTTTTTATTTGATATCTTTAGTGCAGGTACAATAGGCATTTTCAGTAATGGCTAAAAGGCCATGTGTGTCACATATGAGCGCTAACGGATTAGGGTGTCATAGGTGATGGCTGCAGCCTTCAATCATAGTTTCAGTTTTCTAGTATTTATATGTTTACCCGTCCAGTATTAGGCTGGGGATCGAGGAGTTTCTTCTCTTGGGTTTAAGAATTTATTGACTAAATTTACCCTTAACAATGTGGCTCGCTCAGGCTTTGGTATAATCACAATCATGTAACTCATACTGTGGGGGACATCTTGATACCTGAAATTACCAGCTTACTTTCTAAACGTAGTTGTGATTTCAGGTATCAAGATGTCCCCCTCTGTTAGATTGTAGTAACGATATCGGCCTGCTTCCTCCGTTTATAGGACGAGATCAGATCATCTCGTTGATCTGGATTAGGCTTGACGCTAACGACGTAGCGTTTATAAGTGTGCACGATGGCGCACAAGATGTCTGGGGTTTTCTTGAGTAAACTTTACTCTATTTTC